AAATACATTTGAGTTCTATTTAAAAATAACAGATATTAATAGGATAATTAAAATTAATAATAAAATGTAAGAGAAATATCAAAAGGAATAAAACAAATCATTTTGCATTCCATATAAAAATTAATTAAAATAATAAAATTAATAATGGCCCAATTAGAAATGTCATAAGAATCCTACTTAAGGATGACGATTTATAACTTAGCCCAACCTTGCTAGACCTAAAAATTCCCAAGCTCAAGCAACTATTTTCTTCTAATCTAGCTCTGACTCGGATCTACACCAAGCCCACACATAATGCTAGCAATAGGGTTGTAAATGGATCGAGTTCAAATCAGATCTAGTTGCATAAGCATCTACTTATCATTATTATGTCAGATTTCAAATCTGATTTGAACTTAATCCATAACCATCTTATTGTGTTTAAAATGACCAAAAATTTTAAAGTCTAAATAACTAATTATTTAAAGAATATGCATAATAAACATATATAAATATTAAATATTAAATTTATCAATTATTAACTTTGTATAACTATACAAAATATATATGCATATGCATAATTATACTACGTATATACACAAAATAATATTTTTTTATTGGACTTGGATTTTAATCAGATTGAATGGGGTTAAATCCACATCCGATCTAATTAGTAATCAAAGACAAGTTCTAACATCCAAATTTAGGATAATTGCATTTGGAGTTGAATCAGATATTGGGTTTTCAGAGTCCATTAACAACCCTAGCAGGCAACGTCCAAGCTCGACCAAGAAGTTATATGGTAAATATTATTATATAATATTTAGATAACAAAATTTATATTAATATATGGATAGAAATTTTTATATATTTTTATAATAAACAAAAATTAAATAAAAATACAAAAAAAAAGTCATAGTTTTATAAGTAATACAAACAAGCCTATCTTGTTCCCAAGCCTAAACAAATATTATTATGCTTGAGGTGTGGATTGGGCTAGGCCAGGCAGCCTTAAAAACTGCTAATACACTATCAAATCTAGCACAAGATCTTTAATTTTGTTGGTTCATTGGGCTACACAATGGGGGTACCCATCCCCCATATCTCTTTTAACTTCAATAGTTTTAATTTTTAGTTAAAAACCCAAAAATAATGCATGCATGGATTGTACTTGATTTGATTCAATCCAATCACGAATTCCACATTGCTCTTAGGGTGCAATTAGACGAGTTGGGTTAGGTTGAGGATTAACTCAAACCCAACTCAAAGTCTTAAACCTTGAGCTCAAGTTTAGATTAATTTAATTATGACTACAACCTAATTTTATATATTTACTAATATTTAAGTAATATTTACAAAAAAATGTAACATTTAATCATTAATGAAGTAAAATAAATAAAATAAAACACTAAAAGATAATATGGAAACAATATTCCGTTCCTTCCTTAATTATAATAGTTATCAGGTTTTATTGTTTCACATTCCCTTGACAAATCCTATGCATCACATGGGTCTCCACTAGTATATGATATTTGTATGCTCAACTAATATCCATTCCAAATTTATCCAAGTATCATGATGGGATTCATAATATTTAAACAATAATCCCCCATTGGTAATTGTAAGTTGCACCAACAAAACACTCCCAACACCTTCCCAAAAGCCACTACTACCGCACATTGGTAACATCTCCCTTCTCATTCATATATAGGGAGATGTTACCAATGTAGGGCTACAGTGTCCTATTAGGACTGTTGAGATTTTTGTTGGAAGCAAATCTAAACTCTTGGATGAATGAACATTTTCATCGAGACAAGTGAATCAAGGCGGAAATACATAGGAATGGCAATGGGGTGGGGCAAGGTTGGGTTTTGCGTGCCCCGTTTCTGACCCCAAGAGGGCTAAAAATCCCAACCCCATCCCCATTTTCATAATGTATGTATGAAGTTTTGCTCCCAACCCAATCAGTGATTAAAAAAAATCTGGGCCGACCTGAGCATGGCAGGGTTAAACCCCCACGGGATGGGTCAAATTAAGAGACAAATCCTACAAACCCTTGTTGAAAAAGGTAATGGAGGCCTAGGAGGTAAGGCAGCCCAGCTAGGGTCCGGTGCACCAACTTAGATTGCGAAATTTGTCCATACAATGTCTGTACAGTGATATTTTGGTTAATTCTACATAAATTATGGTGTCAACAATTGTAAACCCTTGTTCAACAATATAAATATTACTTTCTACCTAGGGATGTAATGATTGATTTAGATATAGAAATAGTTGAATTTGGTAGAGAGGCATCAAACCCTATAAATGTGTACAGTGTATTCTTCTCCTCTTCATCATTTTCTTTGCTATGATATTCTTTACTCTCTTCACAACATTTTCTCTGATACCATAGCGTCGATCAATCACACTATAGTTAGCTTGTTGACAATTAGGTGAACTATGAGTGTTCTTAGATATGAGAATGAAATGATTCAGAGAGGCTCCATAGTCAAAATACCACCCTGTTTTGGTTTTTTCGGTTTGATTTTTTCGAATTTTGGGTATTTCGGTTTTTGGTTTCGATTTTTAGATTTAAAAATTTGGTTAATCGGAAAAACCAAATTAATTAAAATTCATTATATAATATTTAATATATAATATGATATATATTTATATATTAATATATTATATATAATGTATTATAATGAAATTAAATTTCACAATAAATATTATAATAATGTATATATATTATAGGTTATAATATATAATATTATATATTAATTAAATTCAGTTTTTAACTAAAATAACCAAAAACTGAATTAAAAATTTCAGTTCGATTATTTCAGTTTTATTATAATTCGGTTTCAATTTGATTTTTATTTTTTATTTTGGTTTTAAAAAAATTAGTTTATTCAATTCGGTTTTTAACCGAATAAACCGAATGCTCACCCCTACTGATATGATTATTACACAAGGGATCCTCAATAAGTTTTAAGGATTGTATGATAATAATTAAAATGGCTGAACTGAATCACTTATTAATTTATCTTGTAATGAATGAGTTATAAAAGAAAATTATGAGCTCCTTGATTGCTGAAGCTGAAATTATATTGTCACCAGCATATGATCAATCATATATAGTCTATACTTGACCTTCTATTAGGACCATAGTTTTGAAACCAGACTGGACCAAACAGTCGGTCCATTTGACTCTGGAACTGGTCACGGTTCCTGGTCTGGTTTTGGATTCAAAAATTATTTGTTAGAACTCAGACTGAATGGTCGGACTGTTTGACCCAAGAACCAATGGTCAAAGAGGTTCCATTTCCTCCGGTTTTCAAAACCATCATTAAGACCCTATACAGGTCTTAACTATTTGTTACCTATAAATATAGCAACAAATGGCTTTTGGAAATGTCTTGGGAAAATATTAATAGTAATACTGTAATAGCGTACATAAATTTTAGTCCAATTTGCAATTGTTGAAACCGGCTCTCTTAGAGTATTTGCTCTGGATTTCCTCTATCCTTTACCAATTTCTGTAGCATCAATCTTACATTAAAAAGATGGGTTTTTTTACACCAGTTGGCTCATGGCATGTAAGGGTGTCAATGGACCGGCTTTGGATTGGATCCCGTCCAGTCCAAAATCAATTTGAATGGACTGGAAGGACCAACAAAGAGATATTGAATTGAATCGATCCGGCCCAAAATATTTATTGGATTGGATTGGACCCGATCTGTCCATAACAAAGATTAGGTTGAACTAAGCCAATATCTGGTCCATTGATATAAGATAAGAATATATGTATCGATAGACCGAGTTTGGATTAAAACCAATCTAATTCAAAATTAATTTAAATATATTGGACAATCCAGACATTAAATTGGACCAGTCCAAATTGATCCAAAACATTCATTGGATTGGATTGGACCTGGTCCATTTATAATGGGCTCACATTAAACTAGATCGGATTGGAGCAAATTCAGTCCAATTGGCACCCCTAAATTGGCATGGCTGATTATCATCCATTGCTTTAAATTAATCACTTGGCGTTGTTGCCTTAGATGTCCGTGTATCTATTAGAAGCTAAATGATGTTAAATATATTTATTTAAAAAAATTGTATAATTTCAAAAAGGAATGCCAAAATTATAAGAGACTCTAAATTTGCAAAGTTAGAAGGTTATATGGTCTTATATATTCTTGATACCATTATATTATGTATACAGATATTTAAAGAGACTCTAATTTGCAATTTTTTTCTTTGATGCCATTATATCATGTATGCATGTTAACCACTAAAGAAGGTTATAATGGTTTTATATATGTATGTGACATATTAACTTGTTATCATTGTATTATGTATGTATGTATGTATAATAATTATAAAAGATTAATGGAGCTCGACAGGCTGAGCAATAAACCATAATAGAGAAAAATTCTTGGCGAACGCAAAACTACTTACATTGAGTGTAAAGAAAGAAGGCAATGAATTGATTTTTGTCTAAATTGGATGTTGAGTTGTTAAAAGGGGTCTTCTAAATAAACCATTTTTGTACAGAAGGGTCAGCTTATTTTCTCCATAAAGGCATGTTAATAATACCATGTCCATGTATGTATTAGAAAATTATGGTGGTAAATATATCATTTAAAGTATTTATCTTGAAAAAATGTAGTCTCATGAAGGAACGTCAAAATTATAACCACACAAAGACTTACATTTCCTCTGCTATGTACCGTCGATGTAGGTTATAGCGGCAGTGCATACACGAAAACCGCCGCTGGAAAAAAAAAAAAAAAAAACTCTTGTATTTTAGCGGCAGATATATAGCGCCGCTAAAAAGTAGATGCAGATATTTAGCAACGGATATGCCCGCCGCTAAAACTTGTTCAATTTGTTGAGACAATTTGTAATTTATCCAACCTGATAAACTGAGACATATTTGCAATTTATCCAACCTGATTAACACATATAACATCACACCTAAATTTCAAATAAAATTTAATAAAAACTAATATATTAATTAAAAACAAAAATACATCTTAAATGTGAGTTCTATACATTGATAATATAGAAAAAGGTACAAAATTCTTTATTACATATACTAATAAATCACAAAAAATAAAAATTGTATCTTCAGTATCTTCAGCAATGCCTTCTATCATTCTTGTATTGGTTCAACCTGAAAAACAAGGAAAACAAATATAAAAATTAGATTGTGCATGATATATATATATATATAT